CTAGCCAAAAGTGGAAAAATGAGGTAAAAGCCTTTATGGATTCTTTTAGTAACATGTTAAACTTCTATGTACTCTGAAGATAGATCCTTTTATTGTTTTAGTGATATTTCCTTATTTTATGAATGAATAGGAAAAAAAATGAACTGCTATCAAGAGGTAAAAGATTTGCTATGGTCTGAATATTTGTTTCACCCTAAATTCACATTTTGAATCCCTAACCTCCAAGGTGATGGTATCAGATGGGCCTTTGGGTGGTGGTTAGGATGTGCAGGTGGAAAAGCCTTCAGGAATAAGATCGGTACAGTGCTCTTATAAAAGCAACCTCAGGCAGACTCCTGGTTCCTTCTGCCATGGAGGGCACATCCAGAAGGTATCTAAGAGAAGGTGTCAGCAGACCCTGTATCTGCTGACAAATTGTTCTTGGACTTTCCAGCCTCCAGAACTGTGAATGTAAGTTCCTGTTGTATAGAAGCTATGTGTCTTTGGTGTTGATTATAGCAGACTGAACACTGTGAAACAAGGATCCTCCAACATGAACCCATCCTGGAGTTTACTCTTAATTTAACTTCAATGCAATAAACAATTGACTCTCTAGTTCCTAAGCTGGGTAATCCAGAGTTCCTTTAATTTATAAGCTTTATTTTATGTAAATATCTCAAATGACTGTTTTATTATAAATGTTATAAAAAGTATCAGAAATGTGCCATATTTCAAATTACCGGGCATTTATTAATCATTTATATTTCAAATAATTCTTTAATATAAATGGATTGCTTAGTTTTAAATATTACAACTACTCAATATAAACAAACATAATGATGTTATAATTAAACATATTAAGCATAAAGTTAAGGCATAGGAAGATGACTTTTAAATGTGCAGTGTGGTACCAGTTGTTCTATTTTCATTAGTTGTCATGTATCTTGCCATGTCCTTTATCTGCTTGTGAATTTACAAGTAACACAGCAGGTTGTGAATTTTTAATAGGCTTTCCTCAAGGAAAGAAAAGGTCAGTATTAACATAAAATTCTTCTTAAAGATTTGTGGCACAAATGTTTCACACCGGAAAACAGGTGTTACTGAGAAACTAAAGCCATAATAATCTAATATTTTTTCCCTGGTAAAGAAAACTTAGTCTCATATAATAAAATAGTACAAGACAAGTTCTTATAAAAGTCATTTCTCTGTAAGTAGATGCTATAAGTTTTTCAACACATGTTCCATTGATGCCTCTTCTCTGCAATAAAAATAAGTGATCTTATTCAATTAAATGTTTAACAAATTCAAGCACTGAGGCTTCACATCCAAATAAAAAAGGGAAGAATAATTACAGGGTTACAATTATAATAATTAATTATTGTCTGAACTTAGTAAATGAGGCAGAACAGGAAATAAACTGTATCACACATACACAGAATGACAGAAGGAAACAATGCCAGTGCACATGTGAATAGAGTATGCTCAGAAAAGATGATTGGAAAACTAAGGAGATATGTAAAAATAGAGGAGAAGGATTGCCCATTTGTCTCTTCCTGTATCTGCTAGGAAAGCATCAGCATTCAGTGTACCTGCAAGGAGTTGCCTTTAACAACCCATGGGTTTCATCTTTGAGAAGAGGCATTTTCTCCAATCTCGGGAGTATAGGAATTCATCTCTCTGACTCATTTAGTATAACAAATGTCAATTTTAGTTTTTTTCTTATACATTTCTCAATTTTTTAAAAACCCTTCTATCATTAAACAGAGGTTAATATCAAGACGGTAAATAAGGTCATTTTAATCTTTGTTTACTTTTTGTTTGTTTTTAGTTGTAAATGGACACAATACTTTTATTTTATTTATTTATTTTTAGGTGGTGCTGATGCTTGAACCCAGTGCCTCACACATAACATGCTAGCCAAAAGCTCTACCACTGAGCTATGTGCTCAGTCCCAATATTTGTTTTTCTTTTTCTTTTCTTTGTTTCCTTTTTTAAAAAATTTTTTTGCTTTCTTTTTTTTTTTTTTTTTTTTGCGGTACTTGAAATTTAATGCAGGAACACCACTCTTCCAGTGATTTACATCCCCAGCCCTTTTTAATTTTTATTTTGAGACAGTGTCTGACTAAGTTGTTAAAGGTGGTCTCAAATTGCAAATCTTCCTGCCTTAACTTCCCTGGTAGCTGGGATT